TTCAGTCAAAAAACTGCTTACCTCTTTTGTGCGACCCTAAATCGATTATTCGTCCAACCACGTTAATTCGTCCAAAAACCTTCGGAAAGTTGGTGTCCGAATTAACGGAAGTTGACTGTAGTTACACAACCTGATCTTCTGAATGAGTGGTGACCGCAGTCCCATGACTTCCGAAGTCTGATCCCTACTTTTATGGATGCATATGTTGTGATACCTTAGCATCAGGGGGACTCCTTTCTATTTAGGAAATACGGGGTCTTACTACAATGATACAGAGTGGCATTTCCATAAGTGCACCCTCCATAAATTCACACCCTCTTTATATGCACACATGAAAGTCCAAAAAGTCGGCCAATTAAATTGTCGCGATTTCAATCAATAAATATACAATAGCCACTACTTACTACTATGAAACAATATGGTTTCTATTCATTATCCTACAAGTGCGCGTGCACTTATCTGTAATTAAAATAACACATATTTATAATCAATATAATACACTATCGTATACAGACGCATATTAATAATTAATAAAGGTTACAACAACAACAATCAAAATAACATATTAATATATTTATTTAATATACATAATCAATATATAGCCAACACTAAAAGTGGTTTGTTGATGGCGGGATTATCTATCTCCTTATAATCCATTTTGATACTTTAATTCCATAATAATGATAAACAAAATATCAACCTAATTGAATATCAATCTCGTGATTCTTTCTTATTCGAAGCGACTAGTGTGTTAGATAGATAATATGTCATATTTTGCAATTGATTTGAATAAGAGGGTAGCGTTAACGTCTCTTCATTTTTTCAATGGCTACAATTAATCGAAATTATCTTGGTAATGACATCTGATATACTTTGTAGACTATTTATTCATCGCCGAGGGGTATATAGAAGCTCTGTACTGTACTCTGTAGTCTCTGTAGTGTACTATCGCATTGACCCCTGTACCATCATCGGTATGTCTATCATTTCCTCAATGAGAAAAATTCTAATCGCGCGCTGTATTCACACGACACATTTCATCTAAATGGATGCTAATACCAACATCACAACAATTATATTAGAGGTAAGAGTCTCGTAACTCTTTATCTTGGGTAGAGACAGCCTTTTCTTTAAACTGAGTGTAGCATATCTTAAGTTAAGCGAACTGTTAATAATGTATAGATGAAACCTCACCTGGCTATCTTTGGCAGAACGTTAGCGTTGAGGCAAATGGTAATTACAAAAGAGTAAAAGACGTACAAAGTCGTTATTATTTTGTCATTTCGACGTAGCCAACATATAATTAACTCTGTAGTGACATGATTGCTGAAGGTAAAGATCATTCACAGCATACTTACCACTTCCTTTGCTTGCGATTAATTCCCAAGTCATCCGTCACTCAAACTTACAAGAATGAAGGAGCAGTGACAATTGAAGCAATCTACAAATTCCCAATTCATGAAGCTGCAGCAATCTGGCTTTGAGGCTGAAATCGATGGTAATCGCACAGTAAAGGGTATTGTCAAAGAAGCTCAGCGGGCTGCTAAAGAGTACGACGAAGCTGTTCAGCTTTGCATAAATGAATAGCTTACGGATTATCCAAGTGTCTACTGGCGCATCTTACTTGAAGAAGAACTTCCGGATGGTTTCCAATGCTCAATTGGCAACGTTACGCAGAATCAGACTGTCAAAATTCGCATAACTTACGTAACCGAGCTTAAGCAGGATTCTGATTCCGACCAAGTTCGCTTTGTCCTGCCTATCGCTGTTGCACCGATCCGCAGAACTCGTCTCAAGCAGGGACAAAAGTAATTAAGGGTAATCCGATGTATTCGAACGAAACACAATATACATTAACATTGGATGTGAATGTTACGTGCCGTATGATGGCCAGTTTGTTGAGTGTCGATCACCCACACACAAGATTAATTTGAATGGAGACCCAAAGACTTGCAGAGTTGGGCTGGCAGAAGATAGAACTCACTTGGAAAAGGACTTTGTGCTAGTTTATCAAAAATAGGGTCGATTGGTCGAGCAAAATATTATCTATGTTGTCATTTCAATACGGATTATCATCATAAGCGAAATAGGGCGAATAGCGCGAGAACGTGTGTTTGGCATTTCTGTTTTTAGATGGAGCCTCGGTAACGCTTATGTATGGGTGTGTTTTATGGGTTTTTTATGTGTTCGCTTATGATGTTTTATGTTTTATGACCGGTTTTATGTGTTTTATGAGTGTTTTATGCCGAGTTTTATGCGTGTGTTTTACGCTATCTGTTATATTGAAAGTGTGGATCGGTTCAGGTTTCACTACATATTTTGTTAGATATTTACCTAATCCACGCGATGCCACATATTGAACGTTCATGTGAGCATCTCAAATTAATAAAGTTTCTGGATGATATGGGACTACCCAACGGTCTTCAGGTGTACCACAACAATATACGTAGCATAATTGGTCTGTTCTATAATAGGTTGCTGGAGAGTATGGTCTTGGAAATCCGCGTTTGCATTGTTCTCCTTGTGGAGTGGGGCCGCCACATCTTTGAGGACTACATGATGCTTTATGTAGTTCCGGTTCAAGGTCTTTGTTGGGCAGGTCTGACCTGATGACGTTTAGAGCAATCATGTCGTGTATCGGTTTCGAGACCCAAATGCATGAGTGTGTATGTACCGCTCCTCGGGTTTGAAATTCAACTCTTTTGAAGAATTGCAGTAATTGACCCAGCAGCTGTTTGCGGGTTTTTTCCATACATAATTTTTTTGTTTAAGGTGGGTCCATTTTCCTTCTGCCATAGACAGTGTGATAAAGAGCAGGGTAGACCGTATTGTTCAATCATGGCATTTATGTGTAATAATTTTTTCATAAAAATAGGAATCGCCTGTGTGAATAAATGTTGGTAGCGCTGTGGTTTTATTTTTGTCTATTATACGCTTTCCTGTATATAAGCTTCGTGTAATTAGTTCGGCTGTTGTTGGGGGTTTATATATGTTGTCAGATTGTTTTTTTCGCCAGATGCGTTGTGTATTCTTATTTTTTTCTAATTGTAAATATGACCAAAGTGGCCAATACGGGTGTAAACGAAATTTGGGGTCAATGCGCAATAGTCTCTGTTTAATGTATTTTCCATACGTGATAGAATTTGTAGATGTAATGTTCGCTGTGGTTTTTTTTTATTTCATAGAAATGACCGTGACCATCAGGGAAAAGATCGGGGGAATAGTAGTGGTTCAAGTTCTGGGTCACTGAATTTAGTAGAATCGGGATTCTGAATAAATACAGCCATAAAGATGTGTGTAATAAAAGTCTTCATTATGATTTCAGTAAGAAAGTTAGAATTAGGAAGAACAATGCTGTTTTCATGGATGGGTTGTAGAGTTAATATTGGAGTGTTCAGTCGTGATGATGGCGGTATTGAATTATTTGGTGCTGTTAGTAATCCTGCATAGGGACGTATGTAGCAGTTATTAATTTTTAACCAATTTGTTGCGATTTGTAATTTTTTCGTGCACCATAGTAATCATTATTAAGCTCACATGGTCCGGAGAGTAAAGTTTTAGTGCGCGCATATTCTTTGAAAATTCATGTCTCCTGTTAGATGCGATATTCCGAAAAAGGATTGTCGCCTGTGTTTCGTCCAAGAGAACAGTGTAAGAAGATTGGGGATAAGAATCGACGTTGCATTATTGGTACTAATTGTATTTGTTGAGGAATAGGATGCAGACGAGGACAAGGAATAGTTTGTTATTTGTTTGCATTTAATGCAAACAGGTATTACAATACAAGAATCCACGTTTGAGTAATGTTCTTTTATTGGATAAGTTGTGTTTTTATCATATGATTTCCATTGCGTTTTTGTAGGTACATCAATTTTCCGCAATAAACGCACGCTATACATGGGTGTTGATATAACATCTCCAACTGCAGATATAAAGCGGAAAGTAATTGTGCAACTGAAACAGGAGACGTATCTCGATATAGTAATAGTGGGAGGCAACGGTACAACGGAGACGCGAAAACGTATCGTTTTATTTAAACCCCACATATCTATCCGTTTTAAAGTAAGAAGAAGCGCAGTCACCAAATTGTCATCGCGGATCTAACCGAAGTAGAGATAGTCAAGGATCTCGTTGGAAAAAGGCTAAATCTCAAAGTCAATATTCGTTCCGCTCTCCCCCGAGTATTGGCTCGACACAGTAAATAGTTTTGTAATTTGCGAAAGCCGGTAGACAGTCGCCATGACGTCATGCGTTGTTAGCTGTTGAAATAATTGGACGTTCTGCCGTGGAGGTTTGGTTTTGTTCTTGATGTTGTCAATAATATTGATCGAGTTGTCATGTAGTATTGAACATTTGTGTGTTATCAGAATGTGGAAGGGCTTGGATTTGAAGGTTGGTAAGAGGAGAATCTATATGTATGAAATGTGTGGAATATTGAGTGTGCAGGCATTTTCTTTGTTAGCAAGATTTCAATGAATGGGCAATGCTTTTTATTTCTGTTAGGTTATTGTTATCTCAGTAGGCGCATATTTCTTAACGGCTTATACTTATTTGGAAATTTTAATGCTGCAATCGGTTTCAAACGAAATCCTAACTACTATCATTTGTACTGATGTATATAAAGAGACTGACTAAAAAAAACCATAAAATTAGATAGGTAAGTGGTCTGCCTTTTTACCATTTTTAGAGAGTGTTCCTATTTACTATTTGTTACTGGTTCTAATTGATACGATTTTGTTTGTTATTATTCCGTCACATGGCCTTTATCTGCTCGTTTTTTGTTTTTTATGCCTTTCGTCGCTTTGTCCTGTATCGCTTGATGGTTCGTCCATCGGAGTTTGTTCTTTGATTATGTTAGCTGGTGGAGAATCGACGATTTCTTGTTTGACGTTTTGTTGGAGTTTGCGTCTTACTCGGAGTCTCTGATGTAGATGATATGTTGTGGTTTTTTTGTATTGTTTGTATGCGTCTTCTCATCGATTTATTTCCTTATTATCAGACAAGCAATGTGTCTGAAAGTGGTTAAATTATTTATTGCTGTAATTTCCTGATTCTACCAATTTCTCCACTACGTCTAATGCTAATCATGTCTGCCTTCAATTCTGTTGTCTGTATCATCAATAACTCATCACGAAATTGCCGAAATTCTTCTGATAATGATGCCACTTGTTTGGTGAGTGCAACCAGGGTCTCTTATGATATGTTGTGGTTTTTTTGTATTCGGTGTGCTTTCCAGTTTGTCAGCCGCCCACGGGTTGCTGATATCGTCGTATTTCGTTCCAACAAATGGAAAATCTAAAACGTCGCAGTAGAGAACTGTTTCACATATAATGAGTACCCCTGTGAATGGGCTGCATTGATCGACTGTAGGGATGGGGGCCTTTCGTTTTTTCTTATATATTCAGACACTGTTACAGTTAGTTTAATTCGGTGTTGGTAGAAACTGGCGGGCTTGTCACTTTTCCGATATATCTAGCGATCATGGGCGATTCCAGACATTCGCTTGGGTTGATCGGCAATAGAACGTTATTAGATCAATGGAATTGTTGTTAAAGAGGTAGGTAAATTTTCCGTGTGCTAGGTATATTTGTCCCACTTGCACCTGTGTTGTGTTCACCACCATTGTTACCGTCCGTTTCGCCTTCGTTATCCGGAATGAAGTACGTAAATTGTACTTTTTGTGGTATAATACTGCCATACCTTTCTGTATAGTGTACGTGCAAGATAAGGGAAATTGAAGCTGGCATGTGATGAATGGGCGTAAAGGATGAAGTAGGGAATGAGAAATAAAAGCATATAAAAGATCCAGCCTGTTATCGCACCGCCCGAATCTTTAAAATTTTTTTCGACAAGATTTAATACATACAAAAAATTTCAAACGTAATGTTGACTGTGGTTGGCAGTATGAATAACTGATTGTTTGTGGTACGCACAATATTTAAGAATCTCAAAAATACGATAGAATTTGTACTGATACGTATATTAATATATGGGGAGGCATTTATTTCATCGACAATCATTTCATCGACAGTACACTTCACCGACAGTCATTTCACGTGACACATTGTTTATCGCACTTATCATTGGTTTTCGATGAAATTTATGTCGGTGAAACGTACTGTCGGCGAAATGATTGTCGATGAAATGAACCGGACCCAATATATGTATACCGTAAACTGATCATGCCCCGTAATGATAGGTTATGTTCTTTTGTGCACCACTTCTATACGTCCGATTCAGCAGTCTGCCTACGGATTGTTGTAACTGATATTATCGTATTTTAGTTTCAACAAACTTGAAGCAGGCATATCTTTTTAAGAATTATTAAGGTTGAGGAGGTGGATAGGTACAGTATAACGAAATATGTGGAAGGTAAACAATCGTACGAAGGGATTTGAATTATGACAACACATTTATTAATTAAGTAATTCGCATAAGTATGGCATGAGCATTAGTAATTGTTATCGTGGCTGGTAGTAAACAAAACCTTTTACAGATAGTGTGTATTTGTGAATTACTAATGATCATCAAAAGCATATGAAAGAAAAGTCACATGTCTCGACAATAGTAATAGCGTTATTGTCCGGAGCAAAGCGAAGGACTATTACTGTCTACGCACTATGAAAAAATTTCAAATCACATGAATTTCTCTGTCCGGCACGTGATTTCGACCAATAATTGTGATTGATGATGATGACGTTATGATCACGTCCATCGGAAAAAGTTCCTGATTAGTTACTTGTAAATCATGTGAATTTTTCGCTCTCCGGACTCACAACGGTTCCCGTTTCCTAGTATATGAACGGAGCAGACACATGTATGGCAAGTTTTATTTCTGCTGTTGTTGTTGTTACAGGCTGGAAAGGAGAGTGTGATGATAGTCACCGTCACGTAATACCATTGATAAGCAGTGCATGAGTGTTAGAAATTTTCAATCAAAGATTTTGAGCAGGCATAAACGTACACGACTTTATTTCAGAATTCTATTAACTCAACCATATTGACATGCATGGAAGCCTATCATATTTACCAGTAATTGGAAGAGAAGTACACCTGTGAATTACAAATTTATTCAAAAAAGAGTTTGAGTCACTAAATTAAAAGAAATGGACAGTATTAACATTGTAAATTGAATTCATTTGTATCAACATGTTGTCTTCATACCTGCAGCTGAATTTCTCAGCTTAGGCAAATCTCCAGTAGGTAAGAGTTTACTAGAGTACTTACTCTCCTTCTCAAGACGTGATAGGGGCTTTACATCATTATAATAGATGGTGTTCCATGCATTGCTTTGATATTGAGAATTATCCTTGTACACCTTTTGCCTAAGGTTGATAATATAAGGCCAAATTGTGAATGCATCTGAATGTTTGTCAGGATCAGCATCACAACACTGCCTGGCAAGTTTCTTGTATTCCTCTGGTGCTGAGTTAGGCATTATTGGCCGAAGTCCACCCATAATATCGCATACTAAATCTCTATTACTATTGAATTCACTATCTCTAAAAAGTGATTCACCAGTGGCAATTAAGTACATAATAATACCAAAAGAATATATGTCTGATTTTTGAGTAAATTTGTAAATATGAAAAACTTCTGGTGCAATAAAGGGTAAAACACCTCGAATAGTTGAATTTGGTTCACTTGAATTCACTGATTGTGAAAGACCAAGATCACAAATAAATGATTCTATCTTACTATTACCCATATATATAGTGTCATGCAAAACTATGTTCCCGCCATGAAGATCACAATGCACTAATTTCACATTATGAATATCTTTCAGATAATATACAATATCCTCCAGATATTGTAATTTCATCCTCCATGTCAATTCGTTAACATTTTGATCCAAATAAGACAAAAGATTACCACTGTTGGCATATTGCAGAACAATCATGTACTCTTTTGTTACTGGTTCTTGTGCAACTCCATAAATTTTAAGGAATCGACAATAGTCTTCTGTGCACTTGACATGATTGCTGAACTATTAAATAAAAATAAATACAGAATCAGATTAAATATTGCATTAGTAGATATATCAAAGATTGTTTACCTCAGAAATAAATAATTCTGGCATTTCATTCTTAAATCATTTGAGTACAACAGTTTCTGGCACATTCTGTGAATGATTTTTATATTTGGCAGTATATACTGTTCCATAACCACCAGATCCAATATCTTTGGGCTCATAAAAGTCACCATATTGCATATACTGTACACATCCATAACACTGTATAATTTTGTCCAATATTGGATGTATTTCATGGTAGAAAACTAAATAATATGCTTGAGTAGATGGTTCTTGAGTCATTCCCACTATCAACATATTCTTGGGGGTTAATATCTTCAAGTATTCCTAATTAGCAGAGTAACAATAATCAATGCAATGCATACTTAATACTATTTGCATTAACATGTGAAATAATTTACCTGATGAAAATCAAGCAACTGAGTATCACTTATCTGCTTGAGTGCTACTTGCATCCATTTATTTATTACTGGATTCAACAAATCTGCTATATGTGTGCATCCATGGCGTAATGAGGTCATTTCCCGTACATTCCTCAATAGGGAATACTCTATCCATTGTATATAGGCATCATCTGTTCCCTTCCATAGTTTCATTATAAATGAACCCAGAGATTTGTTGCCTGTGGCCAAATTACGATGCCTTGGTGTTTTACATATACAGTTACCAAATATTGATAGTATTTTAGATATTCGAGCACACCCCAGACATATTCTATTCTCATTACATTCTTTTATTAAATGATACATTCGATTCCTTCTTGTAAATCCGATGGTAACCCAAACATCCGTGGTGAGAATATCTGGATGCTCATCACATAACTAGTGAAATTATATGCTATATTGTCAACAATTATCCAAATAATTCAAAATAAACCTGATGCATTGAATATTTTACCTTGTCATAATAATCCGTCCCATCCCTTATTTTGAGCGGAATTAATTTAACAGTTGCATTAACAGTAAGAGGTAGTCTATATGAATATCCGTCATATCTCCTAACTTCAATACAATCGTATGGAATCCATTCCAAATAGGCTTGATTTGGTGAGTTTGTTTGTAATTAAAAACTCGTTGAGTTGCTTACTGTTGCTAGTCTATCCATTGGATAATTGTTTATGCCCGCAAATGCACCACACAGGACTACATCGGAGTCTTCCACATGCGAAGCAGAATCCATATCGAGAATAATAATCGTAAAACTGTCTCATAGCAATCATATAATGGTTATCATTAGACTTGGTGAATCCTTTTATGAGTTTGTTGCGAGAAGTACACCAGTAGAAATATCTTCTGAACTGATTAACGTCATTGTTGTCCTTGTGTGTTGGAAGCGAGTATATTCTGGCAAACTCACTCATAAATGTTGCCTCGCTGTTTCCAAGGAATATCAGTATTATCTTGCCATAATTATAGTGACTAGCGTAGTAGACGTTGTCAATTTGAGTTGGCTTTATGCGACAGATTTTCTCGTAAGGAATCCATTCAAGTTCATGTTTGCTTCCTAAAGAGGATTTAACCAAGTTGTTAAATGCTGGATTATACTTAAAGAACGACATAGTTTACAAAAGTGAACATGAGGGGGCGCCTGTAGAACATTTTCAACACTTTGTTGTGTTACCAACAAACCGTTTCACAACATTCGCATCTGCGGAAGGTTCGGAGAATAAATCAGTTAACTAATTCTCTTTACCTTTCTACGGAGCATAATTAAATAATCAGTTTTTTAAACGGATTCTTTAACAGAGCTTCAATATGTACAAGGTAAACTATTGTCAATATACATTGTTTAATTGTCGTAGGAGTCTGTAATGCTCTTGACACTACAGTAAAACCTCCATAAATGCAACCTCCATAAGTGCAACCCCTCTCTAAATGCAACATTTTGCTCAGTCCCAAGCTTGGGACTTAGTGAATAAATGCAACCCTCCCTTTTCTGCAATGCAACGGATTTGCGAGTCCCGTTCTAGTAGATTTATTTCTCTAAGTGCAATTCACGTGATTCACGTAATGATCAACACAATGTAGCTGTAGCACAGATTTGTTACAATATCAAACATCACTATTCGGCATTATTTGTTACAGATTGAGTTTTATGCTATTTTCTTTTTTCAGTGTTTGACTTCAACCTGTTTACAATAACTTTGAAACAGAAAGATTTTAATTGATTATTACGGGTATCTTGATAGTCAGATTTTTTATGTAACTTTAGCTGGAATTATAATAAAGGGAAATCTGTTTATTGATCATATGATCAACGTATCAACGTTCTGCGGCCATAGTCCCGAGCAGTTAAAGGCAAAAACCGTAGCCTGTTCGTTTGAGACATCTTTAAAGTTGAATGCAAAGGGAAAAATCAATTACTTGGCGAGTAATCAAGAAGCATACCGAGTGTTAGAAAGCAAGCAAAACGCTTAACGTTAATTATTTAAGCCTTTTTGAACCTAATTTTTGTGACGTCAACATTAACTTCAACATTAACTCTGGCATTGTTACAAGCCCCAATGATAACCAATACATTCTGTGTATATCCATTAATGTAATCTCGACCAGGCATATTTCGATTTTATAGGGTCTTTATTGACAACTACAGATAAACTGCTAAAGCTGTTTTTAGACAGCTAATACATGAGAAAGCATATGCTATCTACATTACTAACTGAATCAATAAACTAATGGACCAGGCATATTTCCCCTCCGCATTCCCTGCTCATAACTATGTCACCTGATATACCGTTTCACAAAGTCCTCACTAAATGACGTCACGTTATTTCAACCTTGTTTACGTTCCCTAAACATAGGACCCCGCTCAAACACCATCTCTTTCTTAAACACCAACAAATACTTTCTAATTACGCCGCGTACTCATACCAACTATACCAAATGTCAGAAGAAGATCATAGCGTACCTAAAGCAGAAGAGATTGAAGTGCGTGTCCACGAGGAAAGCGATGCTAATCCCGAAGACGCAGAAGCGGTAAGTCGGAGTAGGATCCAAGGAGAGCAGAGTGAGAGTGTGTGGGGGTTTGAGAGGGGGAAAGGGAAAGGGATCTGGTAAGGACGAGCGATGAGGGAACCCCCCAAAGTCGACAAGTTAGTAGGAGTGATCAGGAGTAGAGTATTGAGGTAGAATAGATGTAACATACCCTCCCCAAGTAAAAAAAAAAAAGAAAGAAAAACAAAATATTAATAAAAAATAAATAAGTAGCTCGAAGCGATGAAACAAAGAGTGAAAGAAATGGAAGAAGAAGCAGCTAAATTGCGTGAAATGCAGGCTCAGGTTGAAAAAGAAATGAATCTAACTGGGGTAGAAGGTATAAACATAACAAATAACTATCACTACCTACACGTTATCGCGTAATTAGATTAATAGAAGGGGGGTGTGAACAATAACAAACCTAATTGAGTCTCTTTATTGATGTTTGTATTTTCTTTTTTCTTTTCGTGTGCTTTCCTTGTGTACCGTGTTCTTTTGCGTTTAGATAAAGAAGCCATAGATGCAAGGTCGATTTACGTGGGGAATGTAAGTTGTTTGTGAATGATTGGCGTAATGGGAGGGAGAAAAGGGTGGGGGGCGCATGGGTTGAAAAGAATGTGGGAGAGAATGTAAAAAGGTAAAAGGAGAAAAAGATAAGAGGAATGAAAAAAAAAATCTACCGGAGAGAAAGAGAGGACGCGGTTGAAAACTAGTTTCGTTCTGGTATTGTATATATGACATTATATACTCTGTCCTCTCTGTCTTATGCGCATACTTTCTTATGATGCCTTCTTTTACAGCAAATCTATCATCCTCCATCTCACCACGTTTCGCTCGAAATTTCCGTCTCCATGTTCTCTTTTCTGATACTCTGTATCTGCTGCTTTTCTTTGTTCTTCAATACTTTTTGAGCTAACACGTGGCTCAACTCTTATTGCTCTGATCCGACTCTAGGTTGATTATAATGCAACTCCAGAAGACCTCCAAGCACACTTTTCATCGTGTGGAACAATAAACCGAGTTACGATTCTTTGCGATAAATGGAGCGGGCATCCTAAAGGGTAAGGAGAATGAGTTTTTGCTATCAGAAATGGAGTATAGTGGTTGGCAAGTGCCACTTAGGTTGATACTGAAGTATCGCTCACACAATAGATATGCCTACGTCGAATTTGCGGACCCGTCACTAGTTGCAAATGCAATGGCATTGAATGAAACTTTATTACGTGGTCGTCCGATTAAGGTACGATATGTTCATATACATTTACGGTTCACTTTTCCGCATCAGCAAAGATTCTTTAGAGATGTTTGATACATTTGTCATTTATGCTTTTATTGCAGGTGACATCAAAACGTACAAATATCCCAGGATTCAATAGAGGTCGAGGGCGGGGCAGGGCAGGATGGCGAGGGACAAGTGGGTTTTATGGACATGGGGCTTATTATAGTCCTTCTTTTAGAGGGCGTCCAAGGTAACGTTAGAATCGAGGAATTGGAGAAATACAGAGCGGATTGCAAAAGTAGTACTAGTCGTATTTGATCAGTGTGCTTGGGAGTATTATCATATATATATATGCTACGTGCATAAATTATTGCTATATATTCAATGCAATCTATACTCATGTTATGTAAATCCATTTCTATCTCTCAAATATCACTCGTGTTCTCATACTGCCTCTGAATCGATTCTAAAATTGTCTCTCACACATGTAAATCTAAACATTTTTCCAACAGTAGGGGCCGACGAAATGCATTCTCTCCATACTAGAATAAATGTTACAACTAAATACAGATAAATTCTATACCAACGATTTTCAACCTTCTTTATGTAAGGATCTAATGATGTTATTAATATTGAATTGAGTTTCCCCTTTTTAGTAACAACACAGCAATCACTCTGCAAGGCATAGTTTGCTTGGCTCTAGTATTCTTCTCACTCGTCCTTTCAGGAATCGTGAACGGGGCTTGTGTTTTGGTTTTTCTTTTTCTTTTTACCTCTGATTTTTATTATCAAATTTATCTTATCAATTCTCACAACCGAGATTGGGAAGTTATGGTGTATTTCATTAGAGTCTTTTATTTTGTTTGTCTTCAGACCAGACTGGGCTGGTTATCTTTACGTCTGGAATTTAAGTTCATATTTCAAACATATTTTTTGATGTTGGTTTGAGTGTCTAGAATAAGCGTGTGATTTCGTTGACAGTAATAAATGATATTACATATTGTCACGTCGTATAATCAAGACCTTGGGTATAGAATACTTTTTTTCGCAGTGACGCTATTGTTTTGTGAATGTGACTACGCAATGTTTGCGCAAATACGTAAAAGACAAACGTCCAATAAGAATGTCCAAATAATCTCACGATGACATCAAACGCCCAACACTATTTAGGGACTAGCGGATAACGTACGTGTCTGCGTATTACGCAGAGCGCGTACAGGTAGTGTATAAGATAAAATTGCTTGAAACAATGAATCAACGTCCAACTTTTGCATAACATCCCCGACACTTAATGTAGAGTACCTAGATAAACCGTGTAGTATATAAATACTTTTGATAATAAATCCCATAAATTGACTCTGCGAATTTACTTTGTTATAACACACTGCAAGTATGGTAGACGTTTCACGAAACAATTTCAAGTTTTTCGTATTGGAAATGCAGATACCAACAATTAGTCTGTTTGCAGCTTGCTCAAAACGGCTTTATGTAGCATATTATTATTATTATGCATTTACAAGGTTAAGCGTTTAATTTTCTTTATACATAATAAATATCAATCAACCAGCCAACCAACCAACTAACGTATAAAAAAACAAGCGAACGAACAGATAAATGCCTTACTTGTCTGCTAACAGGCAAACTCATCCCTCTTAATCACAAGTAGTTAAGAAATAGTATAACATATTCACCCAAGTCAGTGACCCGACAACCTACCAGGGAAATATGCTTACCAACAAGTATACTGTACCCAATAAGTAATGAAGATACTTTGAATTTGGTTTACTAGAATTTGCATACTAATAAATGACACTCTAAGAAATCACCAGTTGGGTTGTTTATTGTTACTATAAGATAATTTAGTTTACCGCGTATTATACCACGCGTCTTTGTGTTAGAGCAACATAGCACAGCAATGTAAAGAATACCCTATTTATTACAGTACTATTTAAACGCTTACGTTACAAGTTTTTATCGTACAACCCAATTGAGACTAACCGAGACTGTTCCATTCAAACCCACACTTGGAAGTAATTCATCTCTACATTTGCGTGTTTTATTGCATATAGAGATATTGTAAATAATGGTAAACCTGTATCTTTACAACCGTGAGTAGGAACGTGTTTAATTACACTTTATTATATTAATCTTTGTTGATTTATACAATTTAATTACGTGCATGTTGCACATTAAATTTGTCATTATAAGAAAATAATATATTTCATCCCATTTGATGATATTTTAAGTTCAAGTTTTTCATTGCTTTCTAAATAACCAAATTATTGCGTGTGTGTAGCGCATGTATGCTGTTTTCGCACAACCAAGTTTGCTAAAACTATTACTATTTCAAGAAATTTTTGCATGTGGGATTAAAGAAGACTAAAGTCCAACGTCATCAATTTTTCGCAGATAAAAAATATTCTACATTTGAGGAAGCTGCGTCGTATCACAATAAAATCGATGAAATTAACAAACGCAATTTTTATATAAGGAGCGTAAAAATCCAGTTGTGTTGAGTTAAGTTGCTGAGCGTGCCATTTATTTAATAATTAATGGTCAAGTATTAAACATTCATATTAAATAAAATACTACTACACGATATCAGTAGAAAATATGTATAATCCACCGTTACCCATGAATTAAATATGCTCATTGAAAGAGCGGCTGAGCAAACATTCGCAAACGTTTCCAATCGACGAATAGTAGCAATACGCCCTTCTTAATTAGCTTCTTCGATTAAGAAATATATCAATTGTTGTTTCTAACCTTGATCGTAAGTTGCGTTATCACTGAAAGAGTTGTTTTATTTAAAAAAATTTTTTTCAGACGGGTTTAAATTGAATAATAAATCACTCTGAAAGAGTGACTCAAACTGGCATTGTAAACGATAAGGCAGTGTGGCTTAATCGTAAGTTAGCAACTCAGAATAGTGAATAAATAGAACGCCTTAATTGAAGCAAGGCAAGGTTGTGCTTAGAGTTAGATTGAAAACCTTTCCTGGCCGCCAATTAAACACAAAGCTCTTCCAGGTGACCACACATAACACTCAATTTAAGAGTTTGTTCAAAGAAGGTGTTATACACAAATATCGTTCTAGCTTATTTGCAAAAAAAATTGGTGTAGTGCTGGATGATAACAGACACCATTGTTCATAAGTTTAGACTGTTGAAAATAAAATCTTTAGCTGCTCAAAATAAAGTAATTAGTCTATTGATAAATGTTGCACATTAATAGTAAAATGCAATGTTCTTAATTATTATCAACTGAAAAACTTTGTGAATAAATTTTTTAACAAGTGTGTTAGAATTTACACTTTGAAATTTTAGAGGACATGTTCTTACAAGTCTTTTACAGGATAGATTTAATAAAAAGTTTTATTATAAAGTGTTCAATAGACTTATTGCTCTATTGATAAATGCTTGATTCACTATAAGAAATTAAGTCAATAAAAATTCCTTCAATATTTAGTATATTTAGAAAGTGTACGCAGGAAAGAAAGCACTTGCTCAGGAAAGTTAAAGAGAAGTCAAAAAACATTGCCTTTCAAAATCTGAAGAAGAAATAACCTTTCTACTAAAGCCTTTATACAAATAATTGATTACCCAGTTTGTTACCTAGCCATCTAAAGTACACCAGTCCCTTTTATAATGATATGCTTATCAGTGAATTGCATTGTCATTTCATAACATTTGAACTGGCAAAAGTTTTTGATTTGTTGAACGACTCACATATACCAAATAAGCATTGGCCCAATTTCTTTCTTGTAAAACATCTTTATTTAGCGTATCAGAAACATTGACGCGACTTTGAGTTTCACCAAATATCATTTAATTCGCGTAAACATAAAACCTCGATCGACAATCTTAAATGATGAATATTCGAAATGGGACTTTGTTATCTAGAAAAATTTTATGAAACAAGGGAGTGCATGACGATAACAGGCTACACGTATGCAGTACTTGTGATAATGACCAAGTTGGTGAAAGGGTAAAGCTGCTCACCAACATACCGGTTATTGGATTGCGGGATTAATGGTCAATGCAATCCCGCCTTTGAATTGTCACATTACAGCATAATGATAATTAGCATGCGACCATTCTGAAACATCCAATGACGTTTAAAGTCCCCGCGGTAGCTAGCGCTACACAAATGCTCATCTCGTAATAATATGGTATAGATAAAGAGAGGGAGAAGGAGGCTTTTTTTTTTCAATAGAATGTTGGCGTACAGACTTTGAGAGCCAAATTCATCGAATTGGAAAAAAAGTGATTTTCGCAAGTCTATTTTAGCTTCGCGCAGGGTCGTTCATATTAACCCTCTAAAGATGAAATGAATGCATTCATTCCAGTTCAGTGATTACACAGACAGAATGCAAATAGGGGTAAATTAAATGGGTGGTACCTGAAGTTATGATCCCTGAACTCGTTCGTGGCGTCTCACTTTTGACCTAATAAGGCATTGCAATAAGTCAATGATGTGACATATCGGAAAATTTGTAACGGCCCAGAAGTAATTTTCATGTGTCTATCATGATTTGCTATATTATATATTGTAACCGCTGATGTCGTTTAGTATTAGTGGAACAAATTATCCCAAGTCCCGCAGCACATAACTTCTTTTCTTTCATTCATTCGACAGCGTTATATTGTGTTCAGTCATAAAAAGTCTAAATATTCGAGGTAGGACTGTTCCTTAGCCATCTTTTATAGATAATACTAAACACACATCTGTCAAAAAGAGGAGCGTCTTTCCTCGCTTTTCCTCACTTTTCACAAAAACTATACGAAACTCTTGAGAAACAAAAAATATTGTACACTCATCCAGGCCTGAATCCTACCCCCTACCTTTGAACCTTCCCCCTACCTTTGAACCTTCTGCTCAATCTACAACACCGGCCCTGTCCATTCACCCTATCCCGTCCATTCACCCTATCCCAGAGTTCTTCTCTTATCTACTAACTATATACCTCCCCCTTCTCGTTATTATGCCATGGAAAAAGGCGAGTTGGTAAAACGTCTATCCCTTCTCGAAGACCAAAAGAATCTTATCCTGGCGTCCATCACGAAAGCCAACAGCCTTTCCCTTTTCGACGACCACTCGTCGACCACGTCCAAGGAAGAGGCTGATTCTGACTGTGACTCTGTCGAGGCCGAAAAGCTAATTCCTCTGGATATGGTCAACTCTGAGGCTGTATTGCTCGAACATGCAGGATTTACCGCATTCGAGTTGAGGGTCAATCATTTGGAAAAGAGTGTCTGGGGGTATGATCCAAGTGGCAATAAGATGAAGAAGGATTATAACCAGCAACTGTCGCTGTT